TCCTTATCATTTATTTATTTGTTATATCATACATGTCTGGTCTGCAGATATATTTTATTTGGATTATATTTCAATACCACTTTATTAATTTTTTTTTTTTAAGTTTTTGTTGTGAATTGAATGATATTTTACATGGGATAACATCAGTTTTACACTCATCCTATTGAATTAGTTTCATTGCAATGATTATAATCCCCTGCATGCTTCATCATTCAACAGTATTTGCTTCTATTCCCTCTGTTTTTAGGGTGTGGGTTTTTGTTGTTGTTGTTGTTGTTGTTGTTGTTGTTTTGATGTGCACCAAAACACTCAGGAATATACAATCATTCAAACATCCAAAAGACACAGCTTACAAGCCTGCCCCCTAGCTGCCAGCACACATCCCCTCTCCCACCATGAGTTTAGAGTCCTCAGCTGTTCTGCCTCTCCATTTCATCCTCTTTGCCTCCATATGTGGCATCACCACTTCTTTGTGTAGGGTCCCACACTCTGCTCCTGATCCTACTCTTCTTCCTTGATGGTCCCAGGGTCCTCCGCTCTGGGATTGTTAAGATTGACTACTCACCTCTTTTTGCTACAAAACTATTACCTTTACAGTTGCAAAAATCACAATTAGTCATAATACCAATTACTCACTATTGAATCATGAGAGTCTTATCCCCATCTCCTTTTACCAGACCTGTCTAGAAAGGATAAAAACCACTCGGTGGTGATTTTGCCTTTCCCCACCCACTCGGAATCTAAACTCCCTCTTGGAAACTTGTAAGCCATACACTTTGTGCCTTTACAACCCTCCCCACCCCCATTTTAGGTAGCCAATGTGTAAGTTGTCTGTCCCTATCAACCCTGAGTACAGAGGGGATGGGAATCATCCTTGCTCTAAAGATTCTTTCCTTCTTGGTTGGTATTTAAAGCAAATAAATCCATAAGTATAGGTCAAATTCATCAGGTTGTAGCGATTTACACTTGTTTTCTTTCTTTCTTTTTCTTGTTTGTTTGTTAGCTACCTGAATGTCTTCCTTGGTGAGTGTATGTTTGTGTGCCCCCTCCCTCTTTTTTTTTTTTTCCCATGGTTATAATCCCCTCTATGTACCATCAGTTAACAGTATTTCTCTCTATTCATTTTAGCTCTTTTTTTTTTTTTTTAAAGCACCCAGGCATATACAATGTTTTAAATTTCAAAAGGGCACATTCTGCAAGTCTGCCTCCTGGCTGCCACCTCTCACTCCCTCTCTTTCCATGAATCTGGAGTCCTCAGCTGCTCCCTCTCTCCATGTCCCCATCTCTGCCTCCTTCTCTGGTGTCGCTGCTTCTCTGGATAAGGTTCCACATTCTGCTTGTGCTCTTCTCCCTTGATGGTCCCAGAGTCCCCTGTTTCTGGACTGTAAGATTAACTACGTCTCCATTTTTTTTTTTTTTTTACAAATTTACAATTGTGACAGTCACAGTTAGTCACAATAACAATTACTGTTGAATCATAAGAATATTATCCCCATCTTTTTTTTTTTTTCCAGCAAAGCAGTAGCTTATTATAGCATGGAACATCCCAGGCAGAGTGGGAAGGGGTCCACCTCGTGAGTGAGGACAGACGCCATAGCATCTGGGCTTTGAGAACTAATTTGTGGGTATCCCCATCTCTTTTTATCAGACTCATCTAGACAAGATGAAAACTATTCAGTGGGTACGCTATCTTCCCCTACACACTCTTAAACTAAACTCCCACTTGAAACCTTGTAAGACAGTCACTTCGAGCCTTTATCACCCTCTAATGTTATGTAGCCAATATCAAAGTTGCCTCTAGTCGAGTTCTTCCTCTAGTCGAGTTCTGTCAAGGCTTTATCACCCCTCATGTTATGTAGCCAATATCAAAGGTAGAATTCCCACGGAATAGTTTTCATCTTGTCTAGATGGTACTGATGAAAGGGGATAGGGATAAGATTCTTATAATTCACATGATCCCCATCCAGAATTTTCTAGATGGGAAATTTTCACTTGAAAAGATAAGCAGACCAGTCTGAAACAGCTAGAGGAACAGAAGACACTTCTTGAAAGAAAGACCAGCAGGAAAAATAAAAAACAATAATGGCAGTCTGACTGACTACTACAAGAACAAGCAAGTTGTTCCCAGGAGAGCCATCAAGGCAAGCAATCAAGTCCCCTCAGGACAAATACCCTTCCAAGACTGAAATTCAAAGGGAATCCACAAGCAGGCATGTAATCTTGCTGGTGGCCAGGTTGGTCTACAATAAGGAGAAGTGGGAGAATAACAGCAATGAAGCTGTGGGCTAATTCTGACCATGTTCAATAGACCTAGATTGAGACCTGGATGGCCAGCAGTATATTGAGACCTGGGGACTCTTGAACTGACAGACAGGAACATAACCACAGAGGACTAGAGCAGAGAGTGAAGCATCCAGTGACATGAAGTGAGGGGAGATGAACAAGAACACTCATACCCACAGATCATACCCATTTGACCTAGCTTCAATGGCTGATCAGAATCAGAGGAAGAAAGAAGAGGGGAAAAAAGTATAATCTGCTACACTTTGATGAGCTTGACCTATACTTATGGATGCAGTAGCTTAAAAGAGGGGACAAATCTTTACAGTAAAGATCATTCCCACCCCATCTGTGTACAGGGTCACAGGGATGGGCATCTTAGACATTGGCTACCCAAAATGGGGGGCTACAAGAGCACAAGATAACTGGCTTACAAGTTCTCAAGAGGGAGCTTAGTTTCAGAGGGTGTGGAGGAAGGTAGACTCTCCACTGAGTAGTTTCCAACCTGTCTAGGCACAGCTGATGAAAGGAGATCTTGTTTAATAGTGAATAATTGGTATCAGGACTGATTGCAATTGTTGCAAATGTAAAGGTAGACGTTTTGTAACAAAAGGAGGGGAGTGGTTGATTTTGCAGTCCAGGAGTTGAGGACCCTGGGATCACAAAGGGAGAAGAGCTGAGTGTGGGACCCTATTCAGAAATGCAGCAATGCCAGAGATGGAGGCAGAGACCATGACATGGAGAGACAGAACGGCTGGGGACTCTAGACTCAAGGAAGGAGAAAAGCTGTGTGCTGGCAGCCAGGGAGCTGGCTTGCAGGGTATGCCCTTTGGTTGTTTTAATGGTTATATATTCCTGAGTGCTTCAGTGTACATCCAAAAAAAAAAAAAAAAAAACCCTCAGAAGGAATGGAAGCAAATGCTGTTGAATGATGATGCATGGAGGGGATTGTAATCATTGCAATGAAATGAAATACGATAGGATGAATGCAAAGCTGATGTTCTCCCATGTAAACTATCACTCAATTCACAATAAAAATTTTGAAAAAGAGATTCTTATGATTCAATAGTAATTGTTATCATGACTAATTGTAACTGTCACAACTGTAAAGGTAGTAAGTTTTGTAACAAAAAGAGGGACGTAATGTTACAGTCCAGGAACAGAGAACCCTAGGACCATCAAGGGAGAAAAGAGGGATTGGAATGTGAGACCCTATCCAGAGAAGCATCAACACCAGAGATGGAGACAGATGCAGACTTGGAGAGAAAGAGCAGCTGAAGACTCTAGACTCATGGAAAGAGAAAGGCTGTGTGCTGGCAGCCAAGAGGCAGGATTGCAGAATGTGTCCTTTGGTTGTTTAAATAATTATATATTACTTAGTGTTTTGTATAACTCACAACCCAACCTCCCCCAAAAAACCCAGAGGGAATAGAAGCAAATATTCTTGAATGATGATGTGCAGACGAGATTGTAATCATTGCAATGAAATGATGAGTATAAAACTGATGTTTCCCCATGTAAACTATCACTCAATTCACAATAAAAGCTTTAAAAACACAAAACTTAAGAGATTTATTTAGAAATTGTTGTTAAGTGCCATCAAGTCGGTTCCAAACCATAGCGACCCTGTATAGGGTTTCCAAGGAGCAGCTGGTGAGCTTGACCCACCAACCTTGCAGTTCAAATGGCCTTGCAGTTTGGCGCATTAACCCTCAGTGCCACACCAGGACTCTTAAATATAGAGAGATTCTACAAAATTTTATAGATCATTTTATCCTAGTGAGTAGCCATTCATATTTTAACAGCAGAAGCAAACACATACAGGCATACCTTGTTTTACTGCCATTTGCAGATGTCGTAGTTTTCACAAATTAAATTCACAAATATATGGCAACATTATTGGAGTCCTGCTCCGACCACGGGTTACTCGAGGGAGAGGTGGAGATCAGTGATCAGGTAAAGGACACATGCTGATGGCAAGTGACAAAGTTTATTAAAAAGTTCCACGCTTATATAGGGCAAATCTGCAAGTCATTGTGGTTTGGCTAGCGCATAAGTTTCCTTTTCCTCGAAATGACTCAGGTACATTCACCAGTAAGTTTCTAGTGCTGATGTTACTGTTGCTAGGCAAGTTTGGTTTCAAGGTAGTCATGAACCTTTGAGGGCTCTAGCTTCCTACATCTCCCCATTCTTTATTATAACAAGGGACGTTGCCTGTCTTAGGTGGTCAATGAAAGTCCCCAGTCTTACCCGTAATGGATACTCATTGCAGCATAAGGCAATGGCTCTGTCTTAGGTTGACTGGGGGTCCACCAATCCTTACCCATCTTTGTCTACACATCCTGCATGTGTCAGGGGAGTGCCTTTAGCTGGAGGCCATGAAGACTACTCCACAGTACTTTATACTGGTTAACCGCCACTCGAAGAAGGCAGGGAAGGAGGAGACAAGCAAAGATGACAAGTATGCCAATAGCTAGAATGGGGCCCCACAATTGAGAGAGAGAGGGAATAGTATGGAACAAATTTTTAAGGTTGCATAGAAGTTGTTTAGCTAGTTCTGCAGGTTTGCTGTGAAAGCGGGGGGCATAATGCATAGCAATCATTTGTGCATATAACTCATTCGATTCTTGGCTGATATTCTCAGCAATCCATACTCTGTGCAGATGGGCCTGCACTATGGGCCAAGGGAATGCCGAGGCATTATACACAATCTTAGTTACACAAATGGAGTGATAATCAGCATGGCACGCAAGGCGTTGCCAGACCACGACCTGCTCCAAAGTATCCCCAAGTAAGTTAACAGTATCACACAGTCCATTCAGGCAATGTTCAATGGCCAGATCTATGTTTTCTTGCCGGTCCCAGTTGTAGGTAACATTGTCCATCAGCTCATTGACAGTAGCTGCAGTCTGAATTTCCTGAGTAAGTGCAACTGTGGTGGCGGTGAGGGAAACAAGCAAGGTGATAAAAGTCACTGTACCCATTACTATAAGTCCAAGTCCTCGCTTTGACCTAGAAAGCAACGTGGTAAACTCGTTGACAAGCTGCAGGCCGGCATCATCATACCATTCTTGGGAGATGTTTACTGGCTGGTCTTTTTAGGACTGCAAAAGACATGTTAGGCCTTAGGGCAGCAACCCATGAAGTGAGGTTGCACCCCATGCAGTTCAGATGAAATTTCTCGTACCCTCCCTGGGAAGTGCCATTCTCTAAGGTAAGAGGGTCCACAAGGAAAACATAGAGCTCAGGGAGAAAGAGAGATACAGGGAGGGAAGGGTTAATGGTGTTATAATGGTAGTTTTTAGACCTGGAGCAGGCTAAGTGCTGCATCATGTTGATGGTGTTGTAAAATGGCTTGCACAACGAGTTCGTCATATTGCTGGTGTAGCAAATTGGTTTAGTGTAACTAGCCTTGCTGTAGTTGAAGGGCTTAGTTTCTCGCTGAAGATGTCCCACTGAGGGGGGGAGAGGGTACAAGCCAATCTCCGTGTTATTCACGTAGAGGGGAAGCAGTGACAGATTCCATTCCTTCCAGGACACGGGTCTCGCCAGTGGGGGATGCGGGACGACGGCCCAATGGATCACCGCCTGAATCATCTACATGCCGCACAAGATGCTCAGGAATCCAACAAGGACCAGGTTCATCCTGTGGGAAAACACAAACATCACCTCGTCCCCATATGAGAACAGGGTCGGGCCCCTTCCATGTGCCCATTAGGGCGTCTTTCCATTTCACCATAGGTTTCGGGGCACTTGGCTCCCTGTTGCTGTGCTTATCTGCAGCTATGAGACCGGAGGCATCAGTTAAAAGGTAGTTAAGGATGAAGGTGACATGATTGATATAATTTTGAGGTGTGTGGGAATAGAATTCCCCCTTCTTTATTTTTTCAAGGTATGACTTCACAGTGGCATGTGTGCGTTCAACAATGCCTTGGCCTTGGGGATTGTAGGGAATGCCAGTGGTATGTTTGATAGAGAAGTTCTTACAAAACGCCACAAAGCAGGTGCTAGTATAGCCAGACCAATTGTCTGTCTTGATGCTCTGAGGTATGCCCATAGCAACAAAGGCATGTAGGCAATGTTTTATCACTTGGGTGGTCCCCTCTCCCGTTAAGGGGGAGCAACATATGAGGCCAGAAAAGGTGTCTACAGAGACATGCACATACTTAAGCCGACCAAAGCTAGCGACGTGTGTGACGTCCATATGCCATAATGCATTGGGACGTAAACCTTCAGGATTAATTCCAAAAGATGGAACAGACTGGTGGATGGGGCACTCAGGAAAAGCACAAACGATCTGTCATGAAGCTTCACAAGGGATATGAAACAACTTGTGCAGGGATTGACTGTTCTGATGATGTACTTGATGTGAGACCTGAGCGTGCTGCAGATTGGAGTGTGCCATATAAAGTTGTGCGTCAGCAGCTTGACTGCCTTTGGCTAGGGCACCAGGCAGGTTACTGTGAGAACGTATGTGGGCAATAAAGATGGGCTGTTCTCGCTGATGTATCAGGAACTGGAGTTGTTGAAACAGATCTTGAACAATCGAGGTGGAAGTTTTTATCACACAAATAGTTTCTAGTAGAGGGACAGAGTTGGTATGTATAGACTGTTGGTATAAATAATCATAGGGGAGGTGGTGTACTCTTGCACAGCAATGACAATCGCAAGGAGCTCAGCCTGTTGGGCTGAATAATCTGGGCACTCAAGGACTGTAAATTTGTTAACTATGCCAAACACAGCACGTCCTTTTGAGGAGCCATGACTAGCCCCCATTGGCAGAGGGCTTCTTAAAGGGCTTGGTAACAAGTCAGAAGGAGGCTATGGTCAGGATTGGCAATCAAGATGTCATCCATGTAATGGATGATGTAGCAGGTGAAATTACTACGTACATTAGCAATAGCAGCATTTACAAACTTCTGACACAAGGTGGCGCTGTTTGCCATACTTTGTGGGAGGACTTTCATTTGATACCGATCCATTGGACTCTTAAAGTTACTGGAGGGAATGCTAAAAGCAAATCTTTTGCAGTTTGAGGGGGTGTAAGGGGATAGTGTAGAAACAGTCTTTAAGGTCTATAACAACTTTATAGGTATTCATGGGGATGGCAGCGGAAGAAGGAAGCCCAGGTTGTAAAGCTCCCATGCTTTCCATGGAACTATTGACTTTACGGAGGTCTTGGAGCAACCTCCATTTGCCTGATTTTTTCTTAATGACAAAAATAGGAGAATTCCAAGGGGAAGTTGAAGGTTCAATATGTCCTGCCATCAGCTGCTCCTGCACTAACAGCTGAGTTGCTCTAATTTTCTCTTCTGAAAGTGGCCACTGATCCACTCACAAATATCCGGCAGGGCTCTGGGGGGAGGGGAGGGGGTCTGGTGTGGTCACGCGGGGAGGGGTTCTGCCCCTCTTCCCACGGGCGCCTCTCTGGCTGCCCTCCCCTCTCCTCCTTGCTCTTCCCTAACTGTCTCCTTACTAACTGGATAAATAGCAGGCACGGCGAAGGACGGAGGGTCTGGCCACAAAACAACAGCTCCGTCAGAGTCACTGTCCTCTTTATTTATGGCCTCTTTCTTAAGAGGACTAAGGTTGGGGTAGATGTTATCAGGCGCACTGGGCGCGGATTTTTTTTTTTTTTTTTTTTTTTTTGTTTTTTTTTTGGTCTGGGCTTGTCGAACGGTCACTACTGAAATCGAAAGTATCCTGGACAAGCCTTCATAAACTTAAAATATCAGCGGGCACTCGAGCGGGCCCATTCTTGGCATAAAATTCCTGCAGATCATGTCCTATTTTATTCCATAATTTTACATCTACAATCCCATCTTCAGGGAACCAAGAACAAACTGTATTTACAAAGTCTATAAATTTACAAAGCTGATTGTGATCTACTTTTACTCCTCTGGTTCTGAGCATGTCTATAAGCATATTCACATACCGAGCCTTTCCTGGTTTATTCCCCATTCTTACCTGATCGAATGCCCTCTGCTCTTAGTGTCTGTCCACGCATCCTTGTTCTTCAGGTCTCCTTGTTGAGGGTCTGCTGCTTAGTCTCTCGTACTCGAGCGCCATGTTGCGCGCCATTTATCGGAGTCCTGCTCCAACCACAGGTTACTCGAGGGAGAGGCGAGGATCAGTGATCAGGTAAGGGACACATGCTGATGGCAAGTGACAAAGTTTATTAAAAAGTTCCAAGCTTATATAGGGCAAATCTGCAAGTCATTGTGGTTTGGCTAGTGCATAAGTTTTCTATTCCTCAAAATGACTCAGGTACATTCACCAGTAAATTAAGTTTCTAGTGCTGATGTTACTGTTGCTAGGCAAGTTTGATTTTAAGGTAGTCATGAGCCTTGGAGGGCTCTGGCTTCCTACAAACATTGCATCCAGCAAGATCAGTGACATTTTTCCAGCATCATGTTCTCACTTGCTTCCTGTCCTTTTGTCACATTTTAGTAATTTTCACAAAATTTAAATTTTTTTCATAATGCTGTTGCTAGGTGCTGACTCGATGACACCTAATAACAATCTACTTAGTAGATTTCAACTCATAGCCACCTATATAGGGTTTGTGAGACTGCAAATCTTTAAGGGAGCAGACAGATTCATCTTTCTCCCATGGAGCAATGGGTGGGTTTGAACTGCCTACCTTTCAGTCCTGGGGTAGTACTGTATGATCAGCACTGGATTTCTAACCACAACATAGGTGGTTCAAACCTACCAGTTGCTTCTTGGAAATTCCATACAGGGTCAGTTAGCTGACCAACTAATAACCTTTTTTTGCTGACCCTTCCATTTTACTAAGCATGATGTTCATCTCCAGGCACTGGTCCATCGTAATAACATGTCTGAAGTAAGAGACACAAAGTCTCACCGATCCTGGCTTCTAAGGAGCAATGTGGCTACTTCTTCCAAGTCAGATTTCTTTGTTCTTCTGTCCGTTCAAAGTACTTTCAACATTATCCATCAATGCCATAATTCAAATGCATCAATTCTTCTATTGTATTCCTTATTCATTACCAACTTTCACAAGCAAATGAAGCAACTGAAAATACTATAGTTTGCCTCAGGTACACCTCAGTCCTCAAACTGGTATCATTGTTCTTTCATGTGAAGCTTTGTGAAACAGATTTGCCTAAGGCAATTCATCTTTTGATTTCTGATTGTTGCATTCATGAGTGCTGATTGTGAATCCAAGCAAAATGAAGTTCTTGACAACTTCAGTCTTTCCTCCATTTATCATGCAGTGTTAGATCTTTATCAGAAAGTATTGAAAGTACCTCTTCCCTTCCAGCAAGAAAGGTTGAGTGATATGCATATTGCAAATTGTTAATGAATCTTCCTCCAATTCTGATGCCATGCTCTTCATCACATAATCCAGGTTCATGGATTATTTGCTTAGCATACAGACTAAGAATGGTGAAAGGCATACATTCCCTGATTTTCAACCATTCTGTATCCCCTTCTTCTGTTCTAACAACTGCCTCTTCATGAGCACAATTAAGTGTTCTGGAATACCCATTCTTTGCTATGTTATTAACAGCTTGTCATTATCCCTACAGTTGAAAGTCTTTGCACAGTTCATAAAGCACAGGTAAGAATGTTTTGGTAGCCTCTGCCTTCAGTCAAGAGCCCTCTGACATTAGCAGTAATATCTCTAGTTCCACATCCTTTTCTGAGTCTGGCATGAATTCCTGACAGTTCCCTGTTTTCCTATTTTTGTTTTTAAATTATCTTTAGGAAACTTTTACTTGCATGTGACATCAATGCAAAAATATGTATCTCTTCCAGTGCTGCATCTGTTTGTTGAACTATTTCAGTTTGTATTTCATCAATTCCTAGAGACTTGTTTATCTTCAAAGTCTTCAGTGCAGCTTATACTTCTTCGTTCCACACCACTGGTTCTTGATCATATGTTACCTCTTCAAATAGTTGAACATGAACCATTCCTTTTTTTTTTTTTTTTTTTAAACCTTTTTTGAAACTTTTTACTGTGAATTGAGTGAAGGTTTACAGAGCATATCATCAGTTCTATATTCAACAAATCATATATTTTGCTTCATTATACAGATACAATCCCCTCCATGCACCAACAGTTAGCAATAGTTAACAGCACTTAACTCTGTTCACTCCAACCACAGCAGTCATCCCTGTGTCTCTCATTGCCCTCATCTTTCCTCTACCAATCTCCCTCGAGTTGTATATTGCCTGCCCCCTCACCCGTATCAACATGTGTCTACCTTCTGGTGCATATATTATGTCCTCGTACTCCAAAATCATCATAGACTATTTTATCAAGAAAACTTCCCTCTCTCTTCTTTTTTTTCCCCTTTGGTATAGAAAAACACAAACAAACAAACAAAAAACAACCACACAGACAT